CATTAGTTTAAATTTTTTATCATTAATTTTAGCTACAGATAGACATACTCATGCTTTCTCATAGTTATAACCTATTTATTTATTTTTGCAGTATTGGGGTTTGAACTGAAGGACCTCATGTTTGCTACACAGATACTCTATCATTGTAGCTTTGCCCCCAACTCTCATAATTTTAATTTATATGCTCTCATAGTTTTAATTTACATTTTCTTCCTTTTCTCTCTCTTCTTTCTCACTTTTTCTTTTTTCTTTCATTTTTCCTTTTTTTCTTTCTTCCTTTCTTCTTCCTGCCCATCTTGAGGCTTGAACTCAGGAATGGGCACTGTTCCTGAACTTTTTTGCTCAAGGGTAGTGCTCTACTACATGAACCAGAGCTCTACTTTTTTTTCTTTTTTTTTGGTAATTTATTGTATATAACTTTCACAGGCTTTCCTACATGGGCTGACTTTGAACTACAGTCCTCAGATTTCAACCTCCTGAGAGTTAGGATTACAGGTGTGAGCTACCCTTGCCAGCTAATTTATGTTTTCTTGATCATACAGAGGGTAAGAAGGTCTTCATGTATTTTGTATAGACTTTCAATTTGCTAAGCCCTTATTAAGTCCTCAATTTTTCCTGGGCTATTTGGTTTAAATTCTTTTTGATAGTTCACTGACATAGCAACTTTAAAGGTATTTTAGGTAGGAGTTACTTTTTAGTTTGTATGCATTACTGACATCTTCTTGCATAAGGTAGCTTGCCTTTTTGCACCCTGGATGACATCTCCTGATGAGTAGAAAGCCTTGAGTTTGATAGGACACCCTGTGGAGCTGTGGCGCATTGGCACCCTGTGGAGTTGAGTGCTTCTGATTTGAAACTAAATGCCCATCAAACTTGGAAAAGATGGGGAAGTGGCTGAAAAGAGACCTCCAAAGCAAGTTAAAATTAGTCTCTTTCATTTCAGCTTGTTTTCTAGTACAACAAAATACTTGAGGCTGGATACTTTGTCAGGAATAGAGATTTATTTAGTTCACAGTTCTGGGAATTCAACATGTGCTTAGGTCTGCTGAGGGCCTTCTGCCTCTATCACAACATGACCGGTGGCCAAAGCGAGACCATGTGTGTGCTGGAGAGGCCACAGGAAGACAAGTCAGAGAAACTCAGGGGGTTAGACTTGCGGTGAGCTAGAAACAGAGGCTTCCACCTGTAATCCTGCTGCAGAGGAGGCACAGGTTAGGAGGACTGTGATTCAAGGCTAGCAAGGGCAAAAATGCAAGATACTATCCAAAAAATAACTAAAGTAAAAATGAGCTTGAGGCATGGCTCAAGTGCTAGAGAACTTACCTAGCAAGTATAAGGCCCTGAGTCTGAATCCCAGTGCCAGCCACCTGATAAACACAAACCAACTTACTCCCACATGGGCTTACTTACCATAATGTCATGAAAGCAACAAAACCTCTTTTAGGGCATTATGAGTAATGGCCTAATGGTCTAGCACTAGGCCTGCTCTTCAAGGTCCTGCCTCCCCTCCTCCAACTGCCACTCTGAAAACCAAGCATCTATCACACAAGCTCTGGGGGACACACTCAAGCCATCCCCAAATAATAACCCTTTCCAACATGAACCTCTAAATATAACCTTTCATTATGAACTTGTAAATAGAAGAGAAAGGTGTACTTTCAAGCCACATTGGATTTTCAGAATTAACAATGTGGTTATATAGAGGCAAGAGTGGAGGGAGTGTGATTGTGCAGAAGGGTGGACTTTGTAAGCACTGGGGAAGATCAATAGCACAGAGCCAATGGCGTGAGACTGTGAGAGACACCTGAATGCCTTGGTTTTGGTTCTGGTTTGCTTTGGCCATGGCCAATGAGTTCTTAAATTTCAAGTGTAGAAGTTGAAATGGAGATGCCTAGAAGCACAAGGGAGAGCACAACTTCAAATGCTTTGTCTTGAGGTATGTATGGAGGAGAGGAGTGAGGGCAGATAATGACCAAGAGAGTACTAGAGACAAAGGTACAGAAAGACAGACAGAGACTGAAAGGCAGACAAAGGGACAGAGGAATAGACAGCACAATAGTTGGATACAAAATTATCTTTATTTTCTGATGAAAGTTAAAATACTGCCACAAAGAGACATAGATGTATATTTGTAGTGGGTGACTTTCTTGAGCCTAGTATTAAGGGAAAAAGTACAACTACTGTGTTTTATGAAGAAAAGAATCAAAGATAAAGCCAACAATAGAATTTGTTAGATTTTGAAAGCCCATACCATACTCAAACAAATAAACCTTCCCTGTTTGAACAGTATCATAGTGAAATTTCACACTCTAAAACTGAAGACAAAATCATGAAAAGCTTCAGAAAGACTATTTTCCCAAAGTAGGCATTTAAATTAATTCCTTGGAAACATTCTATAAAATATGGACTTAAAAGTTATTTCTTCATTGTGGCCAGGTAATGGTGACTCATATATGTAATCCTAGCTACTTAAGGAGGCTGAGATAAGAGGATCATGGTTCAAAATCAGTCTGTGAAAGAAAGTTTGTGAGCTCTCATCTCCAATTAAACACCAAAAAGCCAGAAGTGTTACTGCAACTCAAGCAGTAGAGTGCTAGACTTGAGTATAAAAGTTTAGGGACAGCACGGAAGCCCTGAGTTCAAATCCCAGGATCTGCCTTTCCTACCCCCCGCCCCCACACATTGAAAAGAATCAGAGGTAGTGGTGGCTCACAACTGTAATCCTAGATATTTAGGAGGTTGAGATCTGAGGATTTTGGTTAGAAGCCAGCCTTTGCAGAAGAGATCATGAGACTCTTATCTCCAGTTAACCACCAAAAAGCTGAAAGTGGAGTTGTGGCCTAAATGGTAGAGGGTCAGCCTTGAGTGAACATGCCAAATAAGAGCATAGACCATGAGTTCAAGCCCCAGAACAGGTATACATAAGAGAAGGGATCAGAAGAAAACAAAGGAAGGAAAAGAAAAGAAACAGGCAATTTCTCTCACATGGCAACCTTTTCTTTCCTTTCCCAAGTTCCTGTGAGTAGTAGGAAAATACAAAAAACCATTAGATAAGTGATACAAGAAACAATTCCATTCTTGGGTCAGAAGGCCCAAGGTGTCTCTGGAAGACAAAAAACAGGGACAATATGAGACATGTTTGGACAAAGCCAAACATGTGCACAGCACAGCAATGGTTCTGGTGCCTTGGGCCTTCGATACATGGGGCAGCCACCATGGTGAGTAGGCAACTATATTTGGGGTCACTTTTCCCCTTCTTCTCTTGCTTTGTGAAATCATGAGCAGCAATAATCTATAGTTGAGGGCACCTGTGAGTGAGAAAAGACAACTCCAGATAGACCTAAAAACTTTACTGTGAAGCAAGTTATCCACACATACTCTTTCCACATCAAACCCCTTTCTCCAACCTCTGGAGACCACTTTATTAAACAGATATGTCAACCCCAAAGGTGAGCACCCCACAAGATCACCAAGCACTTAAGAAAGCATCCATCACTGAATGAGAAACTCTGACTCAGCCAAAAGGACTCCTCACCAAGAAACAGAATTCTGGGAGCCAACAGGATTGAACCTTTCCAAGAAACGAATGGTAATCTTTCCAAGGAAAAGAGCAAATGCTGTTCATGAAATGAGAACAAGCTGCTATTTCAAGATCCAACAGGTTGTATTGTATGGGAAATGAAATGCTTAATTGACACTTAAAAAGACATAAATGACACAATGAGCAGAATGCGCACAGCTGAAGAATGAACTGGCAAGTTGGAATAATGAAATAAGTCAGTATCTGGAAAGACAGAGCTATAAAGATGAAACGAAGATGGAAATGCATGGAAGATAGATCTGGGAATGTCAAAATACACATACCAGTACTGTACCCAGGTTCTTTCAATGGAAAGGTAGAGAGATGAACGGGAAACAGAGAGAGAGAAGGGGGAGGGAGAGAAAAAGTGAAAGAAGGTGGGGAAAGAAAGAAAATAATCAAAACAAAGGCAGTAGTCATTGGTTAGAAAGGTCTAGACAGGACAACAGGACAGTAGTAGTCTAGGTAAATAAGTAAAGAGGCTCCTTGTACATATTGAAGCCACGTTTTGGTACATTAAGAGTAAAAAATCTTTGAAGGGCTTTAGAGAGAAGGTAGTTGGACTCAATTTGTTTTAGAGATCTGGTGACTGACGCCTTGAAGAGATGAGAGGGATCCATCTGAGAGTAGAGAGCCTGGGTGCAGAGAGATTTGATGTTGTCATATAATTTTGCATTTTAAATATAAGGATGGTTTACAGCAGCAAATTTTTCTTAGTGGTTAGACTTACGTAATTATTTGAGAAGAGTAGTTCAAATTCTCTATGATACATTGGGCTGTTCTTCCAAGTGAGGTCTTTGAACCGTTCTGCAATCCCTGTGTCAAAGTTTTCCCAGCAAGGATTTCACCACCATGAATGTTTGTAGGCCTTTTCCTCCTGAGGACATGACATGTTTATCACCTTAGAGGTCAGTACTAGGACTCAACTCGTGATTGAGATTTCCTTTCAAAGTCCCTGGCTCTCTGAGGCTGACAATTCTTTGTGCCCAGAGGCCTCTGTTTAGGCTTGTTGGTAGGACTACAGGATTACCTAGTTTCTACCCAGAGCAAGATGGAATGCTATTTACCCTGGGAAATCTTTTAAAATGAGTAGGAGAGAACAGATGCTAAGTTTTATTTTGTATTAAAACTGAATTAGCAAGAACCAGCCCATTGGTAACTTGATCACCTTGATTAACTGTACAGGTCACTGCAGTGCTCAGAATACTTGTGGGTACATCATGGAACAATTAGAGAGAACATGAGACCAGAGTTCTCAGCCAAGGGCTCCTCACTGTGACAAATGACCGGTTTTTCTGATCTCTATGTAGAGAATTTCTTTATCCAGTTAAGAATACTATACTTTATTAATTAAAGGAACTCCAACCACTGATTTTTTTTTCCATTATAACTCTGTAAACTTTTCTTGTATGATTTTTAGAGGCCAGAGCCCACCAGTTGCTGAATTTAACTTACTCCTGAAGGCACACACTTTGGAAACCTACGGGGTAGATCCTCACCCATGCAAGGTAACTGTTCCACACATTGGGTGACCGTGTAATGATTGTCTAGCTCCAAAGAGAATTAACTGGTGTGCAAGAAGAACCCTCTGATAAGATTGCCACAGCCTGAACCATACTTTATAACTGGAAGGAATACCAATAGATTATGCTTTCATTGGAGTCTTGCAGTTGCTCACTAATTACCATGAGGTAGCTATGATTTTAACATCAACATACATACATTGATCCACTAAGTGGATAAGTGGAAAGTTAAGAGGCTCCTAACAGGTTTATTTTCAAGGTTATTACCAGCAAGTATACAGTCTTGAGACCTAGCATCATGGTTTGAAGCCAACCTAGGCAGACAAATCTATGAGATTCTTAGCTCCAAATAACCAGTATTAGAAATAGCTCAGGGTGTTGGGGGTTCACATAGGAATAAAGAGGCCAACTCAAAAGGAACTGGGTAAGGCAACTTTTCCTTCTGCAAAGTTACTCTTGACAAAAAAGCACACAGAACAGGCAGGTTGCTTACTTTTTATCTCTAACCCAGCAGGCCCTGCCCTTCTGTCCTCATTGCCTAAGTTCAGGTTCACTGCACATGGATGTAGCTTAATTAACAAAATGCAATTACATTTCAAGGAGCTTCTAATAGAGTGTCTTAATTAAAGTGCTCAGGAAAAAGATACATGTAACTACATTGTGATTAAGAAGGGCCAAGCCACCGGCTAAAGCAGGAATTCTTCAGAAAAACAATTCTCAGGAGATTAACAGAAAGGAAGCAAACTACTTTGGCAGAAAAGATACTTTCTCACAGCTGTAAAAAAAAAAATGGATGTGGACAGAAGGTTCAAATGGTAAACTACTACTGGTCCTGGGTTCAAGTCCCACTTCCAGCATAAAAGGAACAAAAAGATAGAGCAGTTTTTATAAGGGAAAAACAGGAAGAAAAAAGAGATTTCAAGTTACATTCTGTAATTTATATTGAATGTTTTTTACAAGGGGTTAAACAGACCACTTTTATTAGAATCACCTGGGCTGTACACCCATAACTACTGAGTCAGAACTTTAGGGGTGCAGCTAGGAAATTTGTTTAATTTCCTAAGGTGGTGCCATGCACATATTTACAGAAAAGATTAAATGAGCAATAGTCTCCTTTCTGTAATTTTAACTATGCATCAACCAAATATGCATAAATCCTAAGCTAAATTATTTACATTAGTCAGGCTCTTAACTGTAAGGTTTAGAGTAGTCCTGCCACATTTATTTACCAGATTCAACCAGCTAACTAGCTAAGTACTAGTTCCTCAGTGTTCCATTCAGGCTGCTCATTTGGAAGGTTCATAAACATCTGCTGGCCAGAACACACCCATTCCTAATGTACATAGGATCTGTGGAAATATGTAACAGGTTCCCCCCAATTCTGGTGTGTGACTAAGGTGTGGAATCTTCCAGACTGACATTTAAATCCTCTTGATCCACCTGTGTAATTGTTTTGGAATATTCTCCAACTTCTCCTTCTGGGAGCAGTGGAAGTCATTGCATTCCATTTCATGCTTTAGATTTGACCCAGAGTCTCTTTATTTTATTTAGTCTTTGGAGACAGACTTGATTTTGTTGTTATTCCTTGTACTGAACTTATCCATGAGATATTGAGTGTTCCTGGTCTAGGCTGGAAACAAAGTAGGCTTTGCTAGACAAATTTTATACTGAAATTGCCCGAAACCCTTTGGGGTGTTGATTAAGGTGAATAGAGACTGCTTAGGGGTTGGTTTCATTGCATTAAAGCACTAATGGGAACAAGAATAGTTGCTCACGGTATAAAAGCAGATCAAGTAGACATTAGAATGGAGGCAGTGTTTCCTGGTGGGGCCAAAGGACCATTCCTTAACGGGCAAAACTACATAATCCCACCCAAACTTTGGAAAGCTCAGAAGCTCCCCACCTCAGAAATTTACTATATTGCTGCAATTACTAAACTAAACATGAAGTCAATCAAGGAATATGGATGAGCATTTTATTTATTGCTTATTTTATTCTCCCATTCCAAAAAAGGTGTTTTTTTTCCTTTTTTTTCAGGATTCAACAGGTACTACAACATTTTTAGGATTCACTGCTGCAGGCTTTGTGGTGTTCCAGGGAAATAAAAGAATCCATTTGATAAAATGGTGGGTATTTTTCTTTTGAAAACTGGTTTATCAATTTTTAAATCCCTCTTCCTTTCTTTGTTTTTTTTTTAGGGCCATATCAAAAAAAGCATTTCTCATATTGATTGCTTTGCCTAACCTTGATCACAAAGGGTTTCTCCACCTATAAATCAATGCCAGTCTGGATTGTCCTTGGAGGGGAACTGAATTTGTCTAGCTGAGGAGTTGGCACAGAAGACCTAGCCTCAAAGGCTTTGCTTTCAAGAGGGGGTCCTTATTTCTGTACTAGAAGCTTCTACTGATCTGGCCAGTATGGGTTTGGTGAACTTGGGATGGGTTCTGGTGAACTAAGCTGCTAACATTTTGTTTCCTGATAACAGAACATTCAAAGCTGGGTAATATATAAAGAAAAGAGGTTTATTTTGGCTTGTGATTCTGGTGGCTGGAAAATCCAGATAGCATGGTGTGGGCATCCTGGTTGCCTCACAACATGGCAGAGAACTAGAAGAGAGGTGGGCATATGTAAAGGGTATGTGTATGAGGAAAAGTAAGAGAGACTGGGGAGGAGGGACCAGGTGCGATCCTGACAGACTTGGCACCCTTGGGGCTTCCTGGGTGGTGAGCTCATCCTGAAAACTGAAGGTCTGAGCTGTTGGGTATGAAGTTGTGGAAATGCCCTCTTGCAACTGGCCTGAACCTCATTATCCTCAATGCTATGACCCTCTTAGATGGAGGCTTTCTTCCAATATCCTTTTTTTCAAAAAGTCAAATCCTCCTTTGTTTTTGTTGGTCTTGGGGCTTAAACTCAGGGCCTGGGCTCTACCACTTTGACCAAAGCTCCCTTTCCATTTGTCTGGTGGTTAATTGAAGATAAAAGTCTCACGGACTTTCCTGCCTGGTCTGGCTTCCAACTGCGATCCTCAGTCCAAAGAAGAAAAGTCTGTGAGACTTTTACAAATAATTAATGACCAAAAAAACCCAGAAGCTGGGCTGTAACTCAAGTGGTAGAGTGCCAGCCTTGAGTGAAATACACTGGGACAGTGCACAGGCCCTGAGTTCAAGTCCCAGTATGGGCACACACACACACACACACACACACACACACACACACACACACACTCCTTTGGACAGCTTGTCATTCATCAAGCAGTTCTCACAATTTTAAGCCTTTCAATGTGTAATACAATTGTTCTGTAAACAGCATGAGGAGTGGACATTTTTTGCATTGGAGATGGATGGAGAAAGAGGGGGAAAGTCAGATACTTTGATGCCATGATCATCTACTAACTGAATCATAAATAAACCATTTTCTTTCTTTCTTTCTACCTTGCACCATGAGCTGGCCAGTTACTATTTCAGTCCTTAAAAACTACAAGCATTCTTGAGGTTGTTGGAAGGGGGATAAAGCCTCAGAATAAATAATTCTGAGCTGCCTATTGATCCTTTCTTGGGGAGAAAATTACTGTATAATTTACTTGAGGTTTTTTATTGCTTGTTAGACCTTCACCTATGATAAGACAGTATCTTCTTTCATCATGGTATGCTTTGCATTGCCAGATTCCTACAGGAAAGCCAGGTACCCTAATCAGCTGCCATATTTGCTTTCTTCTCACTCTGACATTTTCTTTCCTTAGGCCAGATGTCTGCAAATTGAAGTTTGAAGGGAAGACATTTTATGTGATTGGCACCCAGAAGGAGGTCAGACACCTTTTCTAACTACCTGTTGCTATGCATGCATGTATAATGTATGTGTGCTTATAAGAGGAAGGTTCAAGAATGGAATTTGCTTTTAGGATTGCAGTTCTCAAAGACTACAACTTTGCCATGTGATGTTAGCTGAGAACATTTGAGAGGTCAACAAATCAACCCAGTCAGCCTTGAATTTGCATATTGAGAAATGCTGCCTATACCAATGACTGCTTATTGCACAGCCCTAGCGTAAACTTGATGGGCTCTTTTCCTACTTCTTTGTGTCAAAATATGGAGAGATGAAACAATGAAGGATACTTACAAAAATAGCAACTGACACTGGATAGTCATACAAATAGAGTATAGTCCCAGTAGTATTAAAGGAGTTAACAGATACACACTGTGGTTTACCATACTATGTATTTTTGGAGAAGGCAATTACCAAAATTCAAAGATAGTTCTGATCTTAGTAGATGTTCTTGGGTTTTTTGTTTTTGTTTTTGTTGTTTTATTTTGTTTTGTTTTAATGTGCCATTACTAGGGCTTGAACTCAGGAAGCCTGGGCACTATCCCTTAGTTTTTTAAATCAAGGCTGGTGCTCTGTCACTTGAGCCACACTTCCACTTCCAGCTTTTTGGTAGTTAATTGGAGAGAAGAGTCTTATGGACTTACTTGGCTAAATTGTGATCCTCAGATCTCAGCCTCCTGAGTATCTAGGATTACAGACATAAGCCACCAATAACCTGGTTCAGTAGGTATTCTTGAGCCTGGCTATTAGCTCAAGTACTAGTTATGCAAGGATGCAAATAATATGTTAGACTAATCTCAATTTCATAAAGTTAAGTGATTCTTGGAGTGTAAAGAATTGGGAAGCTCATTTCTTTTCAAATTTAAGTTTCATTGTAAAGGTGATATACAGAGGGGTTACAGTCACATAAGTCATGTAGTGAGTACATTTCTTTTTGAACAGTGTTACCCCCTCCCTCATTCTTTCCCATCTTTTCCCTTCCCAACTCTCCCCCCAAGTTGTAAAGTTCATTTCCAACATAATGTCTAGTGATTATCAGTATTGAATTGGTTTACCCTTTGCCCCACTGTTTTTGAGATTCCCTTTCTCTTCTTCAAATCAGCTAAACTTATATACAAGACCAAGGGTACAGAAATCAAAAACAGTAACAAAAGGGAATAAACCAGAGGGGAAAAAATGAAAGAAAAAAGAAATAACTGCAAATAGTACAATTTTTAAAAACCTCTTGTTTACATTTCTTTAAGTTCATTTTGATAAGCATCATTTTATATAATCATATGCAAATAGCATATGTTGTGGTCCTCTCCTAAGAATATTCTAGTTATTCTGGTTTTATTACATATGAAGGAAACATATGTTTCTTTGGGTCTGGCTTACTTTGTTTAATATAAATTTTCCAAGTCTTTCCAATTCCTTAAAAATGGGACAATGCCATTCTTTCTGATGGAAGCACAGAATTCTATTATGTATACATACCACATTTTCTTGATCCATTCATCCACTGAGGGGACTCTGGGTTGATTCTGTATCTTAGCTATGGTAAACAATACTGCAATGAGCATGGTTGTGCTGGTGGCTTTAGTGAGGGCTGGTTTGTGATCATTTGGGTAAATGCCCTGGAGTGGAATTTCTGAGTCAGAGACGCTTTATGATTAGTCTTTTAAGGAACCTCCATACTGCTTTCTAGAGTGGTTGAACAAGTTTACATTCCCACCAAAGTGTAGTAGAATCCCCTTTTGGACACATCCCTGCTAGCATCTGTTATTTGTTTTCTTGATAATGGTCACTCTAACTGGGTGAGGTGGAATCTCAATGTAGTTTTGACTTGCATATCTTTTATAGCCAGTGATGTTGAACATTTCTTCATGTTTCTATTAGCCAGTCTTATTTCCTCTTCAGAGAAGTATCTTTTTAGTTCTTTAGCCCACTTATTAATGGGGTTGTTGTTTATTTGAGGATTTGTTTTTTGGGGGGTAATTTTTGAGCTCTAGGTATAATTTAGGTATGAGGCCACTGTCTGACACATAGCTAGTAAAGATCATTTCCCATTCTGTGGGCTTTCTATTGATCTTGCAAGCTATGTCCTTTGCCATGCAGAAACTCTTCAGTTTGATGCATTCCCATTTATCTAGTCATTCTTTGATTTGTTGTGGTTCTGGATCTTTACTTAGGAAGTTTTGACCTGTGCCAAGGAGCTCTAGTGTTTTCCCTGTACTTTCCTGTAATATATTCAGAGTATCTGGTCTTACATTGAGGTCTTTGATTCATTTGGAATTGATTCTGGTACAGGGTAATATGTAATGATATAGCTTCAGTTTAATGCACGAGTATAGCCAATTCTTCCAGCATCATTTATTGAAGAGCTGTCTTTCTTCCATCATGTGTTTTTGGATCCCTTACCAAAGATTAGGTGGCTATAAGTCTGTAGGTTAATTTCTGGGACTTCAAAACTATTCCACTGGTCCTCAGGTCTGTTCTTGTGCCAATACCAAGCTGTTTTTATTACTACAGTTTTGTAATAGAGTTTGAGGTTTGGTATTGATATTCCTTCAGCACTGTTCTTCCTGGTAAGGACTGTTTCGGGGTCTATATGGATTTTTTGATTGCTTCTATATAATTGAAGAATGATGTTGGAATATTGATGGATATTGCATTGAATTTGCACATAGCTTTTTGGCAGTATTGCCAGTTTCACAATGTTAATCCTCTCAGTCTAGGAGCATTGGGAGGTTTTCCTTAAGTCTGCTTTAATTTCCTTTCTCAGGTTTTTAAAGTTTTTTTTTTATCATAGAGGTCCTTCTCATCTTTGGTTAAGTTAATTCCTAGGTATTTTATTTTTGAGGCTATTACAAAAGAAGTTGCGTTCCTGATTTCAGTTTTGCTCTTCTCATTGTTGACATACAGAAAAGCTATTGATGTTTGTGGGTTAGTTTTATACTTTGCTGCTTTGCCAAAGTTTTGGATCAGCTCAAGTAGCTTGGGAGAGTAGTCTATGGAGTTCTTTAATTACAGATCATGTCACCTGCAAAGAGTTTTACTTCTTCTTTCCCTATTCAGTTCCCCTTTATGTTTGTCTCTTGATTTCTTACTCTAGCTAAAAATTCCAATACCATATTCAAGAGGAGTGGAGAGAGCGGGCATCCTTTCCTCATTTCTGATTTCAGAGGAACTTGTTTTAACTTTTCGCCATTAAGTATAATGCTGGCTGTAGGTGTCATATGCAGCCTTTTTTATATTGATGGATGTTCCATGTATTCCTAGCTTTGGGAAGCTCATTTCATACTTACAAAAGATTTCAATCAGATATTGTAGTGCATCCTTGCCATCTCAACCCCTAGGAGGCTCAGGCAAAAAGATCTTGGGTGTGAAACCATCCTGGGCTACCTAGTAAGTTCACTGCCAGCCTGGGCTACATAGTGTGACCCTATATCAAGGGGAGGAAAAGAGGAGAGACAGACCTTATGTTTCTTAGTGATGTCTGCAAGGGGAATACTATTTCAACAACACTTTAAAGAGCATAGTAATATAAATTGCTTCAAATCTGTGTGGTAGGAGGTAGGATACAAGTCAGTAAATTCCTGACAGTAACACATGTGAAAGATAAACTGTTTAACATGCCCTTTCTTTTTTTTTTAATTAGAAAAAAGCCATGTTGGCATTCCACACTTCAACACCAGCTGCCTGCAAACATCTTTGGAAGTGTGGGGTAGAGAATCAGGCCTTTTATAAGTAAGTAGCTTTTATTCACTTAATCATAGGTTTAAAAAGTACTCATGGAGCACTTGATAGTTTACAAATGGCTGCATATCCATTTCTATTAAGACAGCTCTTTTTTTAGTATGTGGAAGTGAACTATAAATTTAGTTATTGTTGGCCCAAATCCTGAACTCTGTGTTAGGTGTTTCTGTTATACATGTGACAGAATGTCTGTCTGTACACCCCCTTTCTCAAAACAGATCTTAAGATAGAACTTGGTGTAAGTGGTCTATAGGGGATTGAAAGGTTAAAGTTTGAGGCAGTGACCACTTGTTGCTTGTTTCTGTCTAGCAAAGCAACACATGGTGGTAATCCAAACACCTGCTTGATTGTGTGCCTTTATAAGACCTGCAAATCCTTAGCTCCGGGCTCTCCTCCTAGTCTCCGCTGTGTCAGAGTGTAGGACGAGGCCTGAGCTGCAGCCCGTTTAAATAAAACAGCTGTAGAGTCTAACTCTCCGTGGTCTTCTTGCGGGGGGGGGGGTCCTGCAACCTTGGCATAACAGAGATGTAGTTAACAGATCTATGAGTTGGGGATTATTGGACTGAGGCAGTAAATTAAGCAATATGGAGTCTTACCTTCCTCCCTCCCTCCATCCCTCCCTGCCTCTCCTTCTCTTATTCCCTTATTTCCTTAATCCTTTCCTTCCTTTTACTTTCTTGCTTGCTTTTCTTTCTTGCTTGCTTGCTTTTCCTTCTTTCTTTCTCCTTTAATTCTTCCTTTCCTTCTTTTTTCCAATTCTCCCTTTCTCTCTCCTCACCTCCTCTCCTTGCTCTCTCTGCTCCCTCTTTGACCTCTCTCCTCTCTCTGTCCCTCTCTTTCCCATCCTCTTTCTTTCCTCTCTTCTCTCTTCCCATTCTATCCCTGGAACTCAAAATCCTCCTGACTCAGCCTCCTGAGTGATAGGAGTAATAGGTGTATGCCATATTCTAGGCTCCTCTGGGAGACTAAAATATGTCCCAAAGTTCTCTGACAGTGGGTGAAAAGGAAGCTATTTATCTACCAATCCCACATTCATTTTGGTTGAGGGCAGAGTTAGTACTCTCTGGCACTTCTGGCTTTCTCTGAGAGTGTGTGTTGGACTGAATATGCCCTCGCAAGAGACCTTCAGCAGAGTCATATGTCAGAACAGGAATCAATGTTTTACTGGTAGAATTTTGGTGGACTGCGATCATGGAAAGTTGGGTCTAGATGGGACTTCAGAAGCCATCAGTAAGACTCTCAGAAAGAAGGTCCACCTTCTCCTTGCTGAGACTTCCTTGCTGACTGAGTCACTAACACCTCCCACTCCTGCAGTTTCCCTGAGTGGAATTTGCTCAGTTTTTCCCATTGATCACTAAACTCACTATACTAGAAATGCTGTCTCTGAACTTCAAGGCATCTTTGTCTCCTGCTGTGTAGACTAGTAGAAAAAAACCAAAGCAATACAAAACAAAAACGCCAAAGTTGGCCTCTAAGGAATCAACATTTTAGGCTAAGTATGGGGGTGCATATGTGCAATCCTAGCTGCTCAGGAAGGAGGACCATGGTTCAAGATTAGCTCAGGCAAAAAGTTAGCAAGAGCTCATCTCAACCAACAAGCCAGGCATGGTGGTTCGTAATCTTAGCTACATGGGAAGTGTAGGCCAAGTCTGAAGCCAGCCCTCAGCTAAAAATTTGGGAGCCTATCTGAAAACTAACGAAAGCAAAAAAAAAGGACTGGTCATGTGCCTGAAGTAGTAAAACTCTGCCTAGCAAGCATGGGGCTCTGGATTTGAATGCTAGTAATCACCAAATATTAACACACTGGTAGCTCAAGCCTTTAATGCTAGCTACTCAGGAGGCTGAGATCTGAGGATCAGAATTTGAAGCCAGCCTGGGCAGGAAAGTCTGTGAGACTCTTATCTCCAATTAACCACCAGAAAACCAGAAGTGGCACTATGGCTCAAAGTAGTAGAGTGCTAGCCTTGAGCAAAAAGAGCTCAGGGACGGTGCCCAGACCCTGATTTCAAGCCCCACAACCAATAAACAAAGAAACAAATATACCGATAACATACTGGTCCAAGAGGGAAATGCAGAGAAATTGACATTTGGTTTTTAGTACTACTATTACTGCTTTTTTTTTTTTTTGGTCAGTCATGGGGCTTGACCTCTGGGCTTGGGCACTGTCCCTGCGCTCTTCAGCTCAAGGTGAGCACTCTACTGTTTGAGCCACACTGCCACTTCTGGTTTTGTAGTGGTTTTATTGGAGACACGAGTCTCATGGACTTTCCTGCCTGGGCTGGCTTTGAACCATGATCTTCAGATCTCAGCCTCCTGAGTAGCTAGGATTACAGGTGTGAGCTACCGGCGCCTGGCTAATTACTGCTATTATTATTGGTGCTTGCACCTGCTAGACAACTGTTCTACCTACAAGCTATATTCTTAGCTCTTAGTTTTGTGGGACAATCTAATTTGAATACCCACAAAATTCACCCTTTTAAACAGAGTTCACTGGGAGGCAGGTGAGACCCTAAGTTCAAATCCCAGTGCCACAAAAAATATAAAGTAACTTTTCAATGATTTAATCCACAATGTTATTTAATCATTATCTAATTCTAGAATGAATTTATCAGCAGTCATTCCTGTTCATTGGCAATCACTATCTACTTTCTGTTTTTATAGATTTATCTATGCTGGACTTTTTTTTTATATAAATGAGATTTGAAATGATGTGGCATTTGTACCTGGCTTCTTCACTTAGTATACTATTTTCAAGCTTTGTCTATGTTGTAGCTGATGCAGCTTGTGTTTAAATAATATTCCATTATTTGGATCTACCACATTTTGTTTAATCACTTACTAGTAGATGAACATTTGGGTTGTTCTTTCCTTTCAGCTATTATAAAGGATTCTTCAGTGAAGATCCTTTTGGGGTAATTTTCTTGGGTTTAAGCCTAGACATGGAATTAACTGTGGTTAATCCTAATTTAGCTGTTTAAGGAACTGTTTTTTGTGCCTAAGCTTTTGGAACTCCTCTTTTCCTCTTTTGATGAAACCATCCAGTTCCTGTCAGAAGATAGTTTATATGCATTCATTTGGTTATTTTTAGTACTATTTCTCATACCTGAGACAGTTAATAAGTCAATAAATAAATCAAAACCAAGAGTATTCTGGCACTTTATTTTCTGACAGTACTAGGATTTGAAAGCAGGAGCTGCTAGGCAGGTGCTCTACCACCTGAGCCATAACTCCAGCCCCTTTTGCTTTTGTTATGTTTTCAAATAGGATCTCATATTTTTTCCCCCAGACTAACATGGACCAAGATCCTCCTATTTATGCTTCCTGCATAGCAGAGTTGACCGTCACATAACATCAGACCCAGCTTTTATTGGTTGAGATAGGATTCCATGAGCTTTTGGTCCAGGCTAGTCTTGAACCATGTTCTCCCGGATATCCACCTTTTGAGAAGCTGACATGATAGGCCTAAACTACTACCCCTAGCATATGGCCCTTTTTCACTGAAGATTTTCACACACATATAGTATACATATTTTTATATATGTATATTTATATATATATACTAGATCTAATCTCTCTAAGGCTTAGAACTGAGTTCTGCTTTTTCTGCTTCCTGAAGATCCCAGGCATTGAAAACGTATTCACTGGATCAGATTGATAAGGCAGGGCTCCTATCTTCAGGAGATCCTAATTTCATGGTAGAACCCAAAAATATTAGGAGGGGAAAGGACCTTTCAGGTGGAGGATAGTCTGAGTAAGAGACTAAAGCAGGACAGTAGAAGATACATTTTAGATAGGAGAATGATGGCTACACCAGGCTGGGTAGAAGAAAGCTAACATGGAAGGGAGGATAGGAAAGGCTGGGAGATCTTGGAACAAATATGGGAAGGAGAGTGATGTAGTGTGAATGGAACTGTAGATAGCTGTGACTGGCCTTAGGAACAGGCAACAAAGGTCTCTATGAGACCAACTGGGCAGAATTTTCACACAGCCTCAAAACTCTTTTAGTGAAACCATAGGTGCCTATAAGAGAATAACTTGGGGATATTAATTTATTATCTTTCATGTATTCTTTTATTATATATGAGGAAGTCACATGGAGTAAAATAAAGGCAAAAGCAGAAGCAAAGAAAGTGAGGAAAGGAAAAGCAATCCAGATCTTATTTGCAAGTTTGGGTTAAGTGGCTCAGTTATGAGTTAGCAAGGAACCTAGTCTGTTAATTCTATCATTAATGTGGTGTGGCTGATTCTGCACTTGAAGAAACCTCTTACAAGCATCTGTAACTGCTTCACAAGAGAGTCTAGCTGTAGTGGTTGGAAGTGTGTCTCGGTTGGTAGAGTGCTAGCCAATGATTAGAAGCAGCAGGTACTGAGTTCAAGTCCTGGTCTCACACCAGAGAGGGGGTGGTGTAGAGCTGTCAGCACACATGACTAAGATCTGTGTTATCAAGTCTTGAATAGGTCTTGATCCAGATTCTTCATATCTTGAACAAAGAATGGAGTGAAACACATAGAAGTAATGGGAAAAGCACAGGTTTACCGAAGTGAAAATAAAGAGAAAGTAAGTAGGAATAATCTTCACAGTGTAACATTAGGCTTGGGCAAGACAGCTCCAAGGCCCCTGAGGAATGGGGTTTGAGATAATTTAGGGCCAATATGAGTTGCTGGGAAGGTAAAAATGTCCCTCCTACAGGAGAGGCCCTTCCTGACAGATTTGAATGGCAGGTGGTAGTTAAAGAGCAATCTTCCAACCACATATGCATTCCCACACACTTCCATTCCCATACATTCATTTATAATGGTATTAATGATATGCAGTGAATAAACATGAAGAAATAATTTAGGATTAAAAAATAGTTGTATAAGGACATAGCCCTTACCTTCTGGGCATGAGCCTTTGTGAGATGTTCTGCTTCACTGGACAAACATCCAGGTTAACAGGATATAGTGCCAGTTTGGTTGTCTGTAGTATGGAGCAGAACCTAATAGTGGTA